ATCAGTGTGGACTAGCTCGAGATGTTTCTTGGCTCTCCAAGCCTTTCTTGATGGGAATGGTTGCCGATGTTGTTTCCCTAGTAGGCAGCCTTCACATACGTCCCCTCTCTCTTTGATAGTTGGCAAGTCTCTCATCATATTTTTCTGATGCAGGATGTTAAGTCCATGGAAGTTGAAGTGGCCAAATCTCCGGTACCATAGCGATGTGTCATCAACTTAAGCTTTCATAGCTGTCTCTTTTGCGAAGCGCTATTGAATCGGAAAATTCCGATTTCTCTCCATTTTTACTCGACCAATTTCTTGATTTTTATTTTTGGAATCATAAATAGTGCAGGAATCTCCTCCAGAGTGTAAGATATATCCATTTTGCATCATTTGACCTGTTCATCTCGATTGCAATAGTTCCCTTGCCTTTAGTATCCACCAGTGCGCCGTTGCCCATTCTAACTTTTGATTTGACAGATGCATCGATGTTGCAGAAGATGCTATCGTCCTTGGTCATGTGATTGTTGCAACCACTGTCGATGTACTATGTATTATTTCGCTCTTCAGAGGCAGCTTGGCAGGCATAGAATAGATGTTCCTCCTCCTTCTCTAGGAAGTTAGCTTGATGATCGTTCTTGTAGGGACAGACTTTCTCCGCATGCCCGAACTTCTTAAAAGTTTGACATTGTGGCTTTCCACGATGCCAACTGTCTTTCTCCAGATGACTTGTCTTCTTACATATGCCGCATGGAGGATTATTCTTTTTTTCTTTTTCTTTTGAATATCCCCCATTTCGAGATTTTTCTCCTCCTTTGAAATTCTCTCTTGATTTTTTACCATCCCCAAATTTTTGAGTACTCATGTGACTGAAAGGCACTCTCCAATGAGCCTTCATTACGCCTACTCAGTCTAGACTCATGTGCTTGTAGAGAGCCCATCAACACTATGACTGACAGAGTTGATATATCTTTTGATTCTTTAATAGCTGCAACTATTGAATCATATTTATCGGTAAGACTTATCAATATTTTCTCTACAACTCTTTTATCTGGAATATTCTCACCATAGGCTCTCATCTGATTTACTATCTCCATGATTCTGGAGAAGTAATCTTTTGAGGACTCATTATCCTTCATCTTACTATTCTCTAATTCTCTTCATAGAGATTGAAGTTTAATAGTCCGTACCTTAGCATTCCCTTGAAACTCCTCCTTAAGGGTGTTCGAAGCCTCCTTAGCACTTGTAGCTCCAATTATCCTTGGAAAAATAGTATCGGTCACAGCTAGCTAGATGATGAAGAGAGCCCTTGCATCCTTCTGCTTATTTTCTTTTTGAGCTTTGGTGAGGGTGGCTCCTTCATCAAAACTTCATGCCCTTCTTCAACAATCTCCCATAGATCGTGAGATTGAAAGAGGGTCCTCATCTTTATGGACCAGTTATCATAGTTATCTCCACCAAAGATGGGAATGGAAGGTTGAAAATTGATCCAATGGTAGCCATGACTAAGGTGATGTAGCCCTATGCCCAAAGAAGATCAGCCTAGAGCTCTGATACCACTTGTTGGAATTTAGGTGGGATGGTTTAGGTGTTCGGATAATGGATGGAGTTGATTAGATAGTTGTGAACTAGGTAGTAGGAAGAGAGATGGAACACTTTATAGAAGGAAAGATAATTTTTTTTATTGATTGGAGCACTTGCTCTCCAAGTACAAGGCTTTGGATATTGAAAGACTTGGCTTGCATGCTTCACTTCAAGGAAAACCCCCTTGGGGTAGTAAAAGTCCCATTTCCACCTCCTTATTTTCTCTAGAACATTCTACAGTACTCTAAATCTAGCATTTTCTTTTTCACATAATTTCCATATGTTATTTTTTAGAAACAACTATCTAGAATTTTCTCCTATATATTTTCACATGTTACTTTCCAGAAAGTTCTATCTAGATTCTGCTAGAACTAATTATATAACAACCTTTATGTCTTCTAAACAAAAAACAATGCTGTGATAAAACACAACCAATTTTTGGTTAACTCAAAGTAGAGATGTTCTTATACCAAGATGAAAATAAAAACACAAGTAAAAGTACTACCTGAAAACCACAAGACTGAGAGTTACAGTCCATTCCTGCACATAAGAAAGCTTTTGAAGGAGTGGATTCTGCTTTTTGAACTCTTAAATATAATGTGTTGTGGACTTGTGCCTGGGTTAACTATTTGAACTATTAAATATAATGTGTTGTGCTCACAGATTTTTAGTTCACTAGGATAAATTTTAAGCGAGATGAGAGTACAGTTTCCTATCCTATTTCATGAACATTCTGTATACACAGCTGCACAACTGCACCTCCTAGTTCACTTATCATGAGAGAGAGAGAGAGAGACAGAGCACTAATTAAGATTGTTCAGTAACAAGCTACTGAAGACCAATGAGTACCACCTAGCGCCAAACAGTAGCATAAGGTCAAGGGGCAAACAAAATAGTATGTGAGGCAAAAAAAAAAAAAAAAAAAAAAAGACATGGTTACGCATGGCTTATTTGAATTTATAATAATCTTAGGGGAAAAAAAAAATTTGAGAACAAGAACACAAGATCTATATAGCGGACCCTGAATAGAGTGGACAAGATTTTGTTGAATAGAGTTGGGTAGAGAATTGAGATGCATTAACATATCTTAGCATTCACTTAACATGCATAATCTCAATATCAACCTCATATTATCACCAACCAATCTTGCAGTATTTCCTTTCTTGAACAAAAGAATTATTTGCGTTTTTTTAACAATCTGTTTCTTTTTGTGCTAAGGTTTTCAAAACTTAACACACGAGACGAACTTGTTCTCATGCATCTCAACCAAAGAAGACAAACCCTAGTCCTAAATACAGGTTCACCCAACGAGATTATAATTACTAACGCAATACATTTTCCAAAAGTGTTAAGCCCGTAAATTATGACCATGGCCAATCCAATCCTCTAAAATAACAAGTATCATCAATTTCTAAGTGGCAATATGTGTTTATTTTTCTCCCGATATGTACGATTCCATTTAAAAACTCCCAAGAGGGGAGTGCAACCCAAATACTACCGCACAAAAAAGAACCTACTATACTTTCAGAGAATTGACAATATCCTTAAATTTTCTATAGATTTACAATACCACCAATGAACCCAAAATAATAAATAATTCAGACTTCAGAATTAAGAATTGCGCTCGAGCCACGAACCCCACCACAAACAGAGGGGTAACTCTCCATGCATCAAGGGCTGGCCTCCGCACTATACAACCCTTCCAAGTCTCAATAAGAGTTCTCGTGGAATCTAGCATAACCCAATTAATGCCAATCAAAGTAAAAAGAAGCTCCCACTAATCCCTAGCCATGGGACAGTGCAAAAGAAGGAGGTCCACAGTCTCCTTACCCCCTTTGCACATGAAACACCAATTCACTAAAATTTGCTGCCGCCACCTCAAATTATCAATCGTCAATATCCTTCCAAGGGCAACTATCCCACCCAGTGTCGTTAAAGGCGCGCCTCCTAGGCACGCCTAGGCTAGAGGGGCGGGTCTAGCGCATGTTGTCATCCTAGGCACACTGATGTTTACTAGGCGCGCCTTGATTGCGCCTCGTCCTATTTGCCAGGCGCCCCCTCACTGTTTTTTTTTTAAATGATTATTCTATTTCTTAAGCCAAAAAGGGTACTTTTGGCAAACATAATAACCAAATAAGAAAGCCCAAGCATATGAAAGAAGAACTTTTGTTCAAAATAATAAACAAATAAGAAAGACCAAGAGTCAAAGTATCAGCCAAACATAAAAAGAGTGAGACTGCGAGACCAACGACGAAACCCTAGTTGCAAATACGAACGACGAAGCCCTAGTTGCAGATACGAACGACGAAGCCATGTCACTTCACTCGGGCGCGCGGTGCGCGCATCGCCATGCACCTCGCGCCTAGGCTCCAAAAGACGTCTAGCGCCTTGGTGCACCTTGAGCCTTTAATAACACTGGTCTCACCAAAAAGAGACACCCTTGGAGGGCTTTAGTCCTCCAAAGTACCTCCCAAGGGAAAAAAAGCTCCTGAATATCCAACAAACTCCTGAATAAGGAATGCAAATCTGCATTAATGATCACAACCCATATCCGCTCATCCTCCCCCTTCCACACAAGTCTTGGTGGTAGAGGACAACCAATAATTCAACATCCTCCTTTAACTCCCAAACATTAAAGTGTTTCACCATCTGCACATCCCAAGTCACTCCACATCTTGATGGTGGAGGACCACCAAAAACTCAACAACCTCCTCCAACTCCCAATCATTAAAGTGTGTCACCATCTGCACATCCCAAGTTGTTCTAACGCTATCCATAATTATCAGTGACTGAAACCTAAGAATCCACCGCAATCCTGAACATTCTCGAGAAGGAACATGCTACCACGCAGAAGGAGCATGCTACCACGCCACGTATCAGTCAATAATCTCACAACTCACCCGCTCCTAAGCCTGAACGAATATGTTTGGAGAACTTATTCCACCCCTGACGAAGAAATTTTAAAACCCCCACCCCAGTTGGAATTCTCACCTCCCCAAACCTCCACCCTCTCCAATATTATTTTTTTGGTCATTATGTTGGTTATACATGCTGTCGTACACCCAACTCAACCCTACAATGGTTACTCACTGACCACAATTTCAATTGTGTGAAATGGGCAACTTTACAGGGGAAACCCAAGACACCAAATTAACATATAGCTAAATTTGCATCAAATTCAACCAGCAATGAAGAATAGCTCAGATTCTGAAAAGCATAAACCCCTACATCAGATTAGGGGTTGGGTTCAGCATTTCAAGAATCAGAATTGCCTATCTCGCGCACATTTTTTGAGCCCGTATACGAAAAATGAGTAAATCAATTTGGTTCCATTCTGACGTAGATATGCAAGAAGAATTCAATTATTAGTTACCAATATCCAAATACCCATGCATATATACACATTTATTAGCTATAAGGAATAGGAAGGTTACCTGAACAAGGACTAAGCCGATGAGCGAGGAACAATACGATATCAGCGTGCAAACAATATAAACCCTGGAGAACGAGTTGTATCTGTATCGGAAACGTGGGTAAGCTATATATATAACACACGCATAAGAGACACACGTGAACAAATGAACTGACTTGGGCCCAGCCCATACTGAGGACTGTTAAGACGGCCCTTTATAATGTAAAACCACTATAAATAAAAATGGAATAATTTGGACATGATACTAACATCTTTTTCATAATTCATTTACTTCATATTATTTTATTTCATCTTATTGCTAATTTTTTCTACACACAATTTTATATATGTGTTTTATTTATTATCTCTCAACAGTGTAGATTTACATGAAAAAGTTTTACATGTGATAGTTGGACGAGAATGTGTTAAGTTTTTGGTCATCTTTTATACTCATAATTGTTCCATTTTTATAATTATTTCCTACGTACCACCTTTACAGACGTTTTATGTTTTGATTTTGATATTTTTATGATCTAACATTAATATTCATTTTCAAATTGATATATTACATTTTAGTGAAATACATAATTTTATATATGTGTTTATATTATATATCTATATCTATAGTTATTATTAAATGTGCAAAGAGTTTCAGTATTTCAATATTTAAGTATATCAATATTTATTTATTTATTTTAAAAAAAAATTATTAATTGATATAAAAAGAATAGTTATTTTTTATGAATAATTATTACGATATAACTGGTCCAGCCCAATTATGATTATGTCATTATCAGGAGAGAACACATGTCATCATCTTATTAATTCAAGAAGCCTGTAAATTGAGGCGTGGAGGAAGGGGTACAGTGATGAGCAACTTTCTAAGTGTTTAGAAAATGAACTTTGTAATGCGAGAGGTCGCTTCGCAAGGTCAAAATATGAATGTGGTTTCGGAAGTCTTTCTAGTCAAATTTACATTTATAAAAACCACTATCACAACTAATAAAGCATAGCGAGTAGGGATCATCCTCAGGGATTATACATGTTGGAATTTTATTTCGACTCTAGTGGATCAAATGATTGCAAATGAAGGTTGATTGATTGATTAAGATGCAAGGAAAGTAAAATACAATTAAAATAAACTAAGATGAGTTAGGGATTTAAGAGATGAGCAATGAGGTCTTGGGGTCCATTGGAATTGCTACCAATCTTGTTTACCAAATCACACACTTTCAACTAATTTGGAGAAAACATTCATGTAATCTAGATGTTACTACTAATTGCAATATTAAGCATGGACCATCAAATTCAATAACGAATTGTCTACCTAACCAACAATTAAACTAAATATAGAACAACCCATCAATTCTAAGCATGGTCCATCAAACTAATCACAATTATAGCACACATCAATTTAGGGAATCATGGAATTTGCAATAATAAACCACGGAATATCAAATCAAGTAAAGATTGTCTACTTACCTACAAGCATGAATTAAATTGTAGAACAGCCCATTAAGCATAAGCATAATCCATCAAATTTATTGACAAACCTATTTAATAAAAACTATGTCTAGCCATCACTAGTTTCTCAATCAACCACACATAAACATGCAATTAATATAGAATAACTAGTGTAGAGATCAATTCCTAAATAATCACATATAAGATAACATGTAATCAAATAGAGAATCAATAGAAAGAATTAATCTATTGAAATCAAAGGAGAACTTAAGATTCATTAAATTCACAAGGCTAGAACACTAATCACAGTATATTATTCCCCAAAAAGTATAAAAGAGATAGAGGTTTATATTACAAATTTGGGGCTCACCCAAGCCCCGAGAAGAAGTTTAGCCAATCATAGAGGAGGTAGGTGTGATCTTGGAACCCTCAATGGCAATTCACAAACATGGCTCCATCTTCTTCCTCTTCTTCTTTGTTGAATTCTAGGGAGAGAGTGTGTGTAGATTTTGAGATGTGTTCTTGGTATCTCTACTCTTCTCTTTTCTTTTAACCCTAATCTCTAACTTTTCTAGAGAGATAAATTATTTTTATATTTAGTAAGATGAAACTCTATGATACTCCTTACAATAATGTTCAATTAATTTATTACAAGCCTCTTTTCTTAGTCACCAAGTTAGAAATACAGCCTATGATTGGAGGAAATTCGCAACTACACAAGTTAAGTAAAAACCGGCGCGCTTGGGAATTAGACAGCACATTGCCAGCAGGTAGTTCGATCAATCGAAGATCTTCAATCGATTCAACACTTAACTTCAATCGATCGAAGTCGACGTGGCTCGAAAATATCTTCTTTGGCCTTATATATCTACTTTGCTGAGCTGGCACCGCCTCATTTCAATCGATTGTGACCAACTTCGATCAATCGGGACTTCCTTTGATCGATTGAAGTTCCTTTTGGTGCATTTTCTTAACTTCTTTCCAACTTTGCTCCTTAGCTCCAAAATTGAGCTAAATGGTTCTTATTAGCTTGTTTGAACTTTATTGACCTGAAATAGGCAAAAACACAAATAATTACTAAGACATGAAAGTAAGATAGATGAATGGACTAAAATACCCTAACTTAGGTACTAAAATGTATCACATTTGAGCACTTATCACACCCCTAAACTTAGATATTGCTAGTCCCTAACAATGAACTACAAGGAAAGAAATAAATAAATAACTAAGTAACTATGAACTAGAAAGCAATAAAAGGATAACGCTACTTTCGTAGGGAACACGATTGCATTTAACGTATGTAACAATCCTTTTAAACCCCTAGGTTACCCCTAGTGAGCGAGTGAAGTCTCCCGAGGATTTCCAGAAATGATACCCACAAACATTAAGCTCTTTCTCACTAAAGAGGTACCAATATACAAAACAAGCATTGGGAGAGAACTACCTCAAGTATGCAATGTTTCAACCATTTCCAAGCAATCTCCTAAAATCTAAACACCAAGTAAGCAAGTATGATTCTCTACACATCAAGACAATGATCATGCAAATCAAAACAACTCTAGAATCATTTTAAAGTGAATCGGCATCAAATATGTTGCTATCTGTGATACCTCTCGGATCTGAGACACGGGTTGATCAGGCCTAGGCCCAAACCCGAGGGAATATCAAACAATTAATATCTTATAATGAACACAGAATACAAAATAAATTAAGAAATGAAATTAAAGCTGGAAGGAACTAAAAATAGAATCCGCAAAATATTATAATTATTAAAATCCATCAAACCCAAACTCCAAAACTCCATCAGTTTACAACTTGGGAATCCATCTCTAGTGGACCCCTATTAAACATCCAAACGGAAGATAGAACAACTGTAATAAACGTCCAGAAATAAAACTATAGAGAGAGCCCTACATCGTCGGAAGAATGAATAGAGACATCTGCTCAGCACGAATACGTCTAAGCCTGGAACTGTCGTGTACCTGAAAAATAGAAGTGGGTCAGGCCCACGCGCAAATTCTATACTACTACAATCCAAACAGAGGCCCGATACGCATGTACATCCTAAACAATTCAACAATAGCTAATAGTCCGTAAATATATATATATAGTCACACTAAATGACTCTCACTGGACTACAGGCCGGTCTCAACCTGAATAGAGGTAACATGCTAAAACGCACACAAAGTGGGCATATGTACCTATACCTAAACATGGTACACCTCCAACCATCGTAGCCAGCTACACATCCCGATGCATATACGCTCCCTAGCCATCGGTCCTGAGGCTCAAGCTCATACCGAGGCACCATAACAGTACATATATAAAATCCATCCAAAATCCCTGGTATTGCCGCTCAACAAGTAGTTGCCATGACAATACAAATCCACGGGACTTAACTTTTAGTTAATCCCATCCTTATTCCAAGTAGGTGGGTAATGGTATTGTTTTAAAAACCAAACCCATCCTTAGTATGCCACCGTCCCATACCGGTGCCTACTTTCCAATTCTCCAGTAGTCAATAATACCAATAAATCAAGTATATATCAACTAAATTCCAACATCCAACATTCAATGTTAGCAGTGATAAAATAAGCATTGATAAACAGGGTCACAACAACAACATATACATGCTCAATTTAAGTTGTTCCCTTTAGTCTGATATAAAGACAAAATTAATTAAAACTTCCATTTAACACCTTACAAATGACATACAGATATGTAGGGTATGTATCACAAAATCCTAACCTTCACAGTTGATACTAACTGTGATAATGTAAGCATCAAAACAATATTCACAGTATGTATGTAGACATGCTCAAATTATAGTGTTCCACAAAATCGATCTAGTGTTAAACTCAAATCCTCCTAGTATTTAAGTTCCAACAGTTGCTATTACAGAAGTTAAGATAGCTATCATCTAGACCCATCATTCCAATAATTTATACTAGCAGTGGTAAGGAAAAACATAAACCACTGAACCGCAATGCATCCACAAACATGCTTAGTCTAGGTTGAACAAGCATACAACACTACTGTAACTACCAGTTTCATAGCAAAACAGATATCATTTTAGTTTGGTTTAATCTTCATTAATCCTGGAATCATTTAAGAGTGCAAAGAGTATGAAGCCTAAGGGAAAAAGTAAGGATAGAATCTTGCCTCAGAAACTTTTGTTCAAAGTTTCAACGTCGTCTTCTTAAAAAAATCCCGGCGAGTTCCAAAACCCGGTTACTGTTCACGGGTACGAAACACTATTCTCGAACTCAAAATCTGATCTTCACCGTTCAGATTGTGCAACACTGAGTCATGAACCTATTCTCTAAAATTCAGCTCGATCGGACCACGGACGAAGCGGGATCGAATGTTTGATGAAATCTGGGCAGAATGGAAAAAAAACTTGTGCGACCCGATTATTGTTCACGAGTACGAATCACTATTCCCGAGGTCAAACTCTGATCTCCACCGTTCAGATTGTGCGTCACTAAGTCGTGAACCTCTCCTCCAAATTTCAGCTCGATTGGACCACGGACGAAGCAGGATCTGATGTTTGATGAAATCTGGGCAGAATAGAAAAAATATGTGCGACCCGGTTACTGTTCACGAGTACGAATCACTATTCCAGAGGTCAAACTCTGATCTCCACCGTTCAGATTGTGCGTCACTG